CGGGGGTGGAGTTGGCGGGGGTGTAGGGGCGGAAGGGACGAGCACGCTACCCGCTATGTAACCCCAACCGCGACGCGCCCTGGTACCGCCCCGGGGCCAACGGGCGCGTACTCTTGGGTTGGTCTTTTCGCGAGCAGCAGCAGCAGTAGGACGAGAAGGAGCAGAGAGGCGGGACGCGGGGAGGAGGCTGCCAGCAGCAGGGAAGTACGCGGGAAGTGCGTCTAGCCCATTACAGCCCGTGCCCGCGGGGCCAGGGGCGGCCAGGCTCAGCCCGGGGTCTGCAGGGGGTCGCCGGGGCGGAGGGAGCAGGGGTGTGGTGGGGAGGAGCGGAGCCCCAGCCCCGCGTTCACGGTACACGACCGCGCCATACTGGCTGCGCGGCTGCGCGCCTGCTCGGGTCAGAGATGTGACGCCAACTCCCCTGCACGCCGCGGGGCACACGCGGGACGAGACATACGCGAAAGGGAATAAGCACAGAGGGAAGCAGCCCCGGTGCGCTGGGCTCGGACACGATTCCGAGAGCACGGCAGCGCCCGCAGCCACGCCGCCGCGTTACACACTGCAGGAGGAAAGGGAAGGGCGCGCAGCCTTTGCAGTGGAACGGGCCGGGCCGCCGCACCCGCCGCACGTACCACCATGTGTGGGCGCCGCCCTGGCCGGCACGGGCACGGCAGCGCGCGCCAGCGGCCCGGGACTTTTGTGGCCTAGTTCGACAACAAACCCAATCTCGTCTCTCTGCACCGCGCTGCTGCTGCTGCTGCGATTGGAAAGAAAAGGATGGTTATCGGCGGAGAGAAGGGGCGGGGTGGGGGCGGGAGGACCCCCGGACGGCCGTCCGTAGTGTGCCAACAGAGTACGGATTGCACCTATAGGATTAACTTTGTGTAGTGCACCCGCGCGGTTAGTTCTCTGAAAACCGCTCTGCCTCACAACTCACGCTTGTGTTTTGCCTTGTTCCAGGTGTACTACGGCAACACCCTGCACCCGGATCAGCTAAAGGCGTCCGGCGGCGTGCACGGCGGCTCCGCCAGCACCACCCTGGGCTCGGCGCCGCCGTCCTCGCACATCCCCGGCTCCGCGCCCGGCCCGCCCGGCGCCAACCAGCGGGTCATGGTCCGCAGGGTCACCAGGAGATACTCGTACGTGTCAAAAGGATCCACGGCAGTCACATTAAAAATACAACTTTTCCTTTAGGAAAATAATTGATTTTCAAAAATCTGAAACAGTGTTGTTGTTTTGTTTTTTTAAATGAGATTTTACCGACCGCCTAGCTTTGCCCTTACACGAGAAAGCAACGGCCCTTGGGGTAGGTAAACCGACGCCAGTCTTAGCCCACCTCTTGGCGCTTTTGCAGCTCGCCGGACAGTGACGACACGCTCCCAGGCGAGGACCAGGAGGAGGACTTCTCCGGCAGGGACGACCAGTTCCTCGTCTCCGACCGGAGCGAGAACAAGTTCTACGGTTCGGTGCACGGTGCGTCCAGCCACTCGGGCACGGGGCCCATGGCTGGCGTGCAGGCGGCCGTGGGGCCCAGCCTGGGCTACCTCAGCCGCCGGCTGCAGACCTTCACCTACCTGTGCCCCGCCATCTTCCCGTGGGTAGACAACGGCCCGGCCACCGAGGAGTCCGGCATGTTCGTCATGAAGATGGTGGGCGTCCTGTACGTGCTCATCCTCATCTTCGACCTCATCGTGGTGTGCGCCACCAACAGCGCGTCTGGCGCCACCACCTTCTTCCTCGTCGTCTTCTTCCTCGCCATTATGGTCGTCTTATTAATCATCTCGAGAAAGCCGCAAAACAGGTAAGGAATGGGGTGAGAGTGGCGAGGATCGAGGATCGCCGGCACGGATTCCCTCTGACTGCCGTTGAATAATCGTTGTGTGCTTTATCCCGTTTCAGAAAAACTTTACTCTTTATGACGCCGGGGCTTCCGTTCGTTCCGGCCATCGCAGTGACAGTAAATGTGTATCTAATCTTCAAGCTCTCCATTCTGACACTCGTCCGGTTCTGCGTCTGGATGACACTAGGTGAGCGCGAGCGCCTGCACATTAGGCACCGCGGCTACTCGCGTGTGCGTTGGCGGCCTACCTGCCAGGCGTTCCCTGCCCTGTGCTTGCTTTACTTTACGTAACTCCTTCCCGCAGGCTTTGCCATGTACTTCATGTACGGCATCAAGAACAGCTCTTTGGAGGAGGCGGCCCAGGACGGCGACGAACCGAGCATCGAGCTGTCCGTCACCAACGACATCCGGGCGGCCGCCAGCTCCAGCACAAGCCCTGCCCCGGCTGCGGCGCCGCCGTCCAAGCGGCCAGCGCCTTCGGGGGCGCCCGCCTCCGCCCCTGCCGCGTCCTCGAGCTCGGCAAGTCGCCCGCCGCCCCCGAGCAGGGCACCGACAAGGCCACCAGCCCCTCTCACGACGCAGCAGTCGCAGTCCGGGCCCCTCTTCATGCCCTCGACGGCCTTCCCGACCTGGGACGACTAGGAGGCAAGGCCACAGCGCACCAGCGGCAGGGGGGGATCTTGAGTTTGAACAGGTTCGGAGGGGAACCTGGACGAGGGAAGACTTGAATGTGAGTGCCTGGTGGGAATGCGCGGTTTGTTTTCGAGTCCCTATGAAGCAACCTTATTTTATGTTATTTGTTTCTGAAAAAACAAACACTTTTTCCTCTTTAGCAGATAACAATGAATACATTTGAGGTTCACACAAATCAATCTGTTGCTTCCATATGTGTGGTAAAGAAATCATACTATTGCACCTGTAAACAGACCATGTCATACCATTCGATGACACTCTAGTCTGAAATAAAGTCTGCAAACACTTGAACTGCCTTCAGTTGCTTAACAGTTGGATTTGAACTGATTGACAAGAACATATCACTAATTTTAATGAGGGACTCATTTGTGATGTAGCAGAAAAAAAGAGAAACTAAATTCATTAGAGGAAAAGTTTTTATTTTGTAAAGTTGATTTTACTTCTTCCAGATATATTTTGCTGAAACTCTGAAACCTTAGTGTTGGTGATGGAGAAAGTTTCCTGTTTT